TTTCTGAGAGTGAGCACTGATGAGACCACCAAGCGTGGTTGTTCCCTAGGTTGCTTTCAGGAAAAATTCAGAAGTATTTGTTTCGAGAATCTGTTGGGCTGTTTTCTGTGGGTGCCCGCCTTGCTTGACTCGCTGTCTGGCCGATATTCCTATGCTTTCCTTTCCTCTCACGTCAGAGATGTGTGGGATTTTTCCCCACACCGATGATTCTCTGAGACCAGCTGAGTGTCCTACAGTCCAAGTCAGTTCTGACACTATCCACCAGCAGGTCGTCTGGCTCCCATGCGTGAAGAGCTCAGGCTCACAGGGCGGCCCCTGCGACACCCACCACAAGCTCGAGACGATCACCTGTATTTCTGATCAACTGGCCACAAAATAGAGGTTCCCACAAGCTTCTCCTTGGAGAACTCAGGAAAACACGTCTTTACACTTACCTGTTTATTACATAGAGTCTAATAAAGGATACAGTTGAACAGCCAGATAAAGACATACATAAGTTGAGGTGTGGAGGGGTCCCACAAGCAAGAATTTCTTTTCTTTCCTTTTTTTAAAGAGATTTTATTTATTTATTTGTCAGAGAAAGAGAGCAAGCGTGAGTAGGGGGAGAAGCAGGCAGAAGAAGAAGCAGGCTCCCTGCTGAGCAAGGAGCCTGATGTGAGACTCAATCCCGGACCTTGGGATCATGACCCGAGAAGAAGGCAGATGCCTAACTAACTGAGCCACCCAAGCATCCCTTAAGTGCAAGAGTTTCTGTCCCGGTGGAGTTGGGGTGGACCATCCTCCCAGTGTGTGAATATATTCAGCAACCCAGAAGCTCTCAGAACCCCATACTTTCAGGATTTTGTGGTGGCTTCGTCACCTAAGCATAATCAATCTTAACTCAATCTCTAGCTTCCTCCCCTTTCTGGGGAATTAGGGGTGGAGTTGAAAGTTTCAAGCTTCGACCATGGTTTAGTCTTTCTGGTGACCACCCCCCCTATCCAGGGGCCCACTAAGAGTCACCTTATTGGAGCAAAAGAATTCCAAGCCAGTTAGGAGTTCTGCGTCAGGAACTGGGATCAAAGACTGAAGATGAGCAGGAATCAGGGGAGAAACAAATACATCTATTTCTTATTGTTTCACACCTGCCATGTCAGTTTCCCGAAGATAAAGGCCAAGAGCATACGGTCTGTTCAGAGTTTGGCACTAAATTCATACACATAAAAGAAGGGGTGTATTAGGGTGAGGCAAATCCTCACATATCCTCCTGCCGTTTTGCTCCAACATTAGGTAAGGCTGGGTGACCATGTGGATGTCACATGGGAAAACCTTGTGACCCTCAGACTCAACTTCCAGAGCTCGTATTATTTTCTAAGCCCCATTGAGCTGGTCCCCTCCCACCTGGAGTGTGATCTGGGGTTGTCCTATTTGGTGCTTGGGTTTTAGCTTCTGCTCTGCTTCGTGATCCACCGTCCGCCAGCTCTATGCATTTTTCTCTTTTCCCAAAGTCCCTTGATTAGATAAGGTCAGCTCTTATTCTCTGCTTTTGTGTCTCAGCTACACACTTGGCTCCTTCTCAATTTTCTACTCTGAAAACCTTCAATTTTGTAACTCTGGGGAAAAATGCAATAAATGGGGTGGAGAGCCTATTGTAGCCTTTCGAGCACCTCCCAGACACCTGCTATGGGGGTGGCACGGGTTGTGGCTTTTGCTTTTGGGCTCCTGGCAGCAGTATTTTTCATAAAGCTGGGTACCCCAGGTGCTGTTAACTTTTCAGGTTCCAGTATGGGAAGGAAGCAGAAAACAGAACAAAATGTACACCAATTGAAGTCCTTTGGAAAAATAGCTGAAATCATCTGAGTTCTGGGCCAACATATGTGTTAAAAATTGCTTGATTATCATTAAGGCTGAATGTGACCAGAAATACGTAGGCCTAATATCTGGCTATTAATGAAACTTAAAGGTCCTTTTGATAAAAACAAAACAATACAACACATCCTTCGTGTCTTGTCATTGCATCTGAAAATTCACATTTTCATATTCAGAAGGACTCTGTTCAAATGCAACCATTTTGGGGGTAAGTACTCACGTGAATGAGTCACCATTAATGTGTGAGACGTGGTGAGTGACACCATGTCCTAGATGAACAGGCTCTGAAAAAAGGCAAACACAGATAAGGAATGTTTTAGACACAGAGAGAGCCTAGGAGGTTTTCGAGCTGTGTTGTCAGCTGTGATAGACGCTGGCTATGTGTGGCTGCTTAAACTTAAATTCAAACTTAAATTAATTAAAATAAAATCAACAATTCAGTTTCCAGTCACATCAGCCATATTTCAAGTGCTAAGTAGCTGCATGGGGCTACCATATTGGACAGTGCAGATATAGAACATTTCTGTTATTACAGAAATTTTTTTTTAAATCATTTTTCTATTACAGAATGTTTTATCAGACAACTCTGGTCTGGGGTAGAAGAGACTTAGTGGAGAGGGCATGTCTAAATGGACTGTGTCTATGTTGTGCTTAGAATCCCAAAAATAATGAGGAAAGTACTGGGAAACAGGTAGGGGAGGGGGAAAGACTCCAATGGAGAAAGGAGATCATACAACACAGCGGTGGCAAGGAAACAAAAGGCAAACATTGCCTACTTTGCAATTTTGCTGGGAGTCTCTTGATTATGTATTCTATGAGGGAAAAGCAGAATTTTCTAGCAACTCACTCCTGGGTTCAAATTCCAGCTCTGCTAAATACTAGTGGGTGGCTATGGGTACTTCTTAATCCTTCCTTATCTGTAAAATAGAAATGATAAATCCTACCCTGCACCACCATCAGGAAACTCAAAGGTAACATACGTGAATCTGGTCCGCCATATGTGCTCGACAAATTGGAGCTGTTACATTCCAGCACACAGGTGGTCATTCCATAAATGGTTATTGAGTTTAATTGAAGGGGAGTACTTCAGGGGCACTTGGCTGGCTTAGTTGGTTAAGCGTTGTCTGTGGATGTTGTGGATCATGGCTCAGGTCATGATCTCAGGGTTGTGGGGTCAAGCCCCCATTGAGCTCACACTGGGTGTGGAGCCTGCTTAAGATTCTCTCTCTTCCTCCCTCTACCCCTCCCCCCAGCCTCCATCTCTTAAAAAAACAAAAACAAAACAAAACAAAAAAAGCCAAAGAACCAGAGCACTTCCTATCTCTCTTTTTCACGCTCTTGCTTTCACTACAAAGAAAGATCCTGTGAGACACTGTACAAACTCAGACGTTACTGGTATTGCAAGAGTAATTAATACGAAATAGGATCAGAATGCAACCATACCTTGGAAGCTAAACCTTTTAAGTGAATGGAACTGAAATATTGTAATTCACGAAATAACACTAAAATAGTACTGGTTGGACAGTTAATGCCTGTTATTTATATTTGTTGAATTTTTAAAAATTGAGTCATTCACAGAATTGCTTGAGGGCACAAGTTCAAAGCATTAGTGCATTAAATATCATAAATGAATCATTACACAGCAACATAATTAACAGCTTAGCTACTATATTTTTTTAAAAAATCTTTTTCAATGGTAGCCTCAAGTGTTCCTCTGCTGGAAAAGTTGGCTAAAAGACAAGCTGATGGGTAGAAATTGCGATGTGAAAATAGAATCATGTGAATTCATCTCATCCATTCTACTGATTTGTACTGAAACCAACGTCTTTTTAAAGACATTTTATAATCTTTTATAGGCCTGCACTCATTGTAGTATTTTTCTTTATAGATATCTAAGAAGACTATTAACCTGTCCCCAGGTACCAAAAAGCAGCATCTTCCTAATGTGTCATGTGAAACATTTTAATCTTTCATCTGAGAACTTTTTAAACTTCGCTCCAGGGAGGTCATAACCACTAAGGGTCTTGGAGGACCAGAAGAAGGATAGAATGTATGAGCAGACATGAGTTGGGACACCCTCTTCCTAACTCCAACACTGTCTTTCCAATTGTGATTGAGCAAGCACAGCTGAAATTTATGTACTTAATTAGTTTTCTTTAATTGGGTTTGAAGAAAAGTCTCCAACAATTTAAAAATAATTATTTTGAAAATCCACTTAATTAGGTAATTCTGAATTTTCTATTCACTTAAGTCCTGTAGTTCTCGACTCTCAATGCCAGATTCTACCCCCACGTATTTTGATTTAATGAATTTGCTGGGGACCCTGACATTTAAAAAAATTTCCCCAGAGGATTTTAACTTGCAGCCAGGGCTGAGAACTACTTTTTAGTTCAGTTGCACTGATCTCTTTTTCAGTAGAAGTGAGTAGGAACTATGTCTTTTTTTTTTTTTTCCCTGCCAGAGAATAGAGTTCTGCCCAGGATAATTAATGTTTATGGAAACTACTTTATTCTTTCTTCCCATATTCCTAACGTAAATCAACATTCCCACCCTCACACCTAGAAAGAAGAAGTGCCAGGACTCTCGAACCATTCCCCTTCACCAGTTAACTCTACTGATTTATATCGTTATCAGGAAGAGATGCGTTTCATTCCATTACGATGGTCTATTTTTGTATATCTGTAAGTGCCCATATATAAATGTTAGTGTCGAGATGGCTAAAACAGTTGTTAGAGTGTATTTTGCCCTACAGGTGTAATTTTTTATAGGGAAATTGAACCTATTATTGAGCCTTGCGCACGTTAGGTTCACACGGAGTGATTACTACCACAATAGGAACCCAGGCATTTTTCTGCTTAACTGTTACAATGTGTGTAAACATCCATACTACTACTAGATGCCATGTGCTCTGAGTTGGGTGTCTGCCATCACCAAGATCAAGTTAACAAGGTCAGTATGCCAGGGCCTTTTTCTTACTGCTTTCTAGTTAAGTCGCTACAAATTTGGTAAATAAGCACCAGGTGAACAAGATAACCTCGTACAATATTCTGTTCTGAACAGGAGATATATAGCATTGGAATGTGTGACTCAGACAGAATAGAATCCCATTCTTTCCTCTCTTTCTCCCTCCCTTCCTCCCTCCCTTCCTTCTTGCCCGCCTGCCTGCCTTCTTCCCTCCTTCACTCCCTCCCTTTCTCCTGCAGGCTTTTGAAAAACACTAAATGCAAGGAGAGGCTTTCTCTGAACTCCCTTTATCTGCCTAAAGACAGATCTTCTGAAAAGAGCTCAGTAGTCACAGATTTCTTCCCCGGGAGTTCACTCAGACAGGGGGGACTGACTCATCATGGGAGAGGAGAGTAAAGGTTGATGTCATATCCAGAAAAACTTTGTCACAAACTATCCTACTTCTCATCTCTTCTTCTAAGGGCCCATCCATCTTTCCTAAAGATTGTTTGTTCTCCCTTAACTTATGCCCCTTCACTTTTTTTTTACCAAGAAGGTGTTAATCCTGAAATCAAAGTCACTTCTTTGACTTACCCATTTTCCCCTGGGTGTCTTCCATGTGTACAGTTTTATAAACTTCTGTGTGTTTTTTTCTCTTGTTAACTTGTCTTTTATTATGGGAATCTCAGCTAAGAACTCAGAAGTGTAGAAGGAAAATCATTTTCCTTCCCCTCGTACCCAAGCCCTTAGGTAATGCAAACAGGTGTCGGTTCCTTTCCACAGTGGCCACAGCATCAACTCATGTACTTACTACCCTGGTTTCCAGTTGTTTCTCCTTGTTTGTGGCCACGGGGAATTTCCTTTACTTTTAGTATTCTCAGATAAAAAATTTATCAGGATGTTTATTTATTTTATCTAGTGTTTGAAGGTGTTTAGTAGATGGAGGATTCATTTTATTCAGTCTATAATGTTGCTGAAACGAGCATCTAACCAGTTTTTCTAATCAAATATTTGTGCGGCTGCTGGGCCCCTAGGACACCCAACACCTCACTGATCGGGAAAAGGCCCGGGCAGGGAGTCCCAATGACCAGACCCTACATGCTCTTCTGCCCTCAACGACCATGTCGTGATGAATGTGAGACGTCTCTCAGCACCACTCAAGGCATGGGCTCAGGGGGAAGACAACCATGGCGGAGTACTTCCGGTGAATTTTCCTGGACTCAGTAGGTCTCTCAGCGTCTTCTGCTTGTGACGCTGGTATGCTTTTGTTCTTGAGCACCATAACTTTTCACTTCTGGGTTTCTTCTGAACTTGCTCCATCTTAGGTCCTAGTGGGCTGGATTTGAGCACCTGACTCAGATTTGTTTTTTCCATCTGTCACCCCTCCCTCTGCCATATCCCAGGATTCCAGTTTATGACCTCTCTTCTGGAGAAAGGATTTTGCAACTCTTGTCTCCTCCTGGGTGTTAGTTCCTTTTAATATATGGCTCTGACCCAGGAACATATTGCACAACTACTTTGGAGAACTATGGGATACCCAAGCCATCGATCCTGGGACTTAATTTGCCTCAGTGCCTCAAGGCTTATGGTGGGAGGAGACACATGCAAAGAATTAAAGGATTTTGTCAAATATGCTAGTTTCTCGAGTTAAGTCACTGAAAGAAGGAGTTGAGGGGCATGACTCTGCAGCTTGCAAGAAAGAAACCTTATTACATTGAAGTACAGAGCCTGTATGTGAGTATTTTAACAGAGCACTTTATTTTAAATTATTTTAAAATTACTTCCTTTTTCTCGAGCTAAGAATGTTAAAACCTCAATTTCCAGGCTTTGAGTTAAAGTCCTTTAACAAGCACAGTGGGTAGGAGGTTCTTGGTCCCTCACAACGAGCTGCTCATCCAACAGTCCTCTGAAACAGAATCAGCAAGTGCTGGCTCTACAGAATAAGCCAGGGTCACCCATGCAAAAGGTTGGTTAATTCAAGTATAAATCAAACAGCAAAGAGACAGCAATTTGCTACAAGTGCCCCAGATGTTCCTAATGAAGAATGCCTTTTCTTTTTAGAAAGGCTTAAGCTGGTTGACTTTAAAGAAATCCTGCAAACCTCAAGTCCTTAGGTGCCTATTTCTGGGTAAACATGGGGGATCAGTTAGCAATAAGAAGAAAGGCAATTTCTTAGTTATGTTAAAAGAAAATTTCCCGCAGCCAGCTTACCGATCTAGGAGGCTTTCATCCAGTCATTCATGAATCAGGTAACATCCAATCTAGAGGATAGAGAGAAGCTCTACAAAGCTGTAAAGGGCAAGAGATGTCTGTAATCAAAGTGAGTAGGAACAAGGAAGTTATACCGGGCATTTGATGTTTGGTTAAAGCAAGATTACTTTTTCTCCACGGAGCCAAGGGAAATCTTGGAACCGGGTCGGGTAACTTGTGCCACGCAGGCAAGTGCTGATTGGTTGACATAGGCCTTCCTTTTCTGGGAGAGCCTAACAGGAACTCAGTCAAGTTTTGGTTTGCTGCTATGGGGCTTAGCATGAGTGCCTCCATTTTGAGTCTCACTGGTTACTTTAACAATAAGGAAAGGGGAAGAACTTTTTTTTTTTTTTTTTTTTTTTTGGTTGCACAGTACAGATACTGAGATTTTTTTTTTAATTTTTTATAAACATACAATATATTTTTATCCCCAGGGGTACAGGTCTGTGAATCTCCAGGTTTACAGACTTCACAGCACTCACCTTAGCACATACCCTCCCCAATGTCCATAACCCCACCCCCCTCTCCCAACCCTCCTTCCCCCAGCAACCCTCAGTTTGTTTGGATATGGTTTTATATCCCTTAGAGGCTTGAAAGGGAGAAAAATATGCCACCCAAAATATGCCTCTTTGGTATAAGGATTATTCTGAGAAATAGGCACAGAGAAGCTTTGAAAATAGAGTAGAAGTCACACTACTGTTAAGGAAAATTTCTACTTAAAGGAAGCCTCCGGGGCACCTGGGTGGCTCAGTTGGTTGAGTGACTGCCTTCAGCTCAGGTCATGATCCTGGAGTCCCATATCCGGTTCCCTGCTCGGCAGGGAGTCTGCTTCTCCTGCTAACCTCTCTCCTCTCATGCTCTCTCTCTCTCAAATAAATAAATAAAATCTTTAAAAAAAAATTAAAAAAAAAAAAAGGAAACCTCCATTTGTAAGGGTGTCTCCCTCTGTACCAGGAAGAGGTACATGACCTAGTCACCAGAAAATCTCGTCAGCGGAGAAGGCACGGACTTAAATCTGCGCAATGATCTTACCCTTGTTTATGTGCTCTGCCTGGTAACTTCCTGTAACTAGCTTTCCCTTCCCCCAACATCTTTCTTTTGGCCTTTTAGCTAAAGATGTTATTCAAGGTGGTGGCATCAGCCGTCTTGGAGAATTTCTCAGTTTTCCCTGGCATCCCCCATGTATACATACAGGAGGTATACGTATTAATACATTTGTTTTTCTCTTGTTAATTTATCTCTTATTATAGGCGGTTTCAGGCTAGCGGGATAGAGGAGAATAGTTTTTCCTCTATTGTAGGCTCACAGTGTCAACCTTTCAAACTGACTAAATCCTTGAGAGATCAGCACTCCTTTAAACCTTGGACAGCAGGAAATTTCCAGTCCTTCTTTCTCGTGTCTACTGCAAGTCAAACATCTTACTGATGCCTCTCACTTCTTTGCACCTTTCCAGACAGACTGACTATAACCAGGTGCTCAAGATGACAGGGAGACCATATTTTCTGAACAGTGACTGTCTTACCTTCCCGGGCAAAAGAATTTCATGGAACAAGCTGGTAAGTTGTGTTAACGTATGTGGTCTCATTTCTCAGGCAGAAACCAGTGGATTTTCTTCCATTATGAGCTGCAGTGAGTCAGAGACCTTGTAGGACTTTTTACCCTTCTTTTAAGAAACCAAATAGGCTCTTTTGTATGCTTGCTTTTCACTGGCATCCTGGGGCCTGTGCCTGCTTCCCTTTCCTCTGTGAAGCCTCCTTGCCTTCTTTAATGATGGGCTGATTCTGAGTAATCTTTTGGCATCAGGTGACATTCACCTCCTTTAGGAAGCTCTCCTGACTTCTTTTCTACTACTATTGTCCACTTCGAGTCCCCTGCCCTGAGGATTCCCATGCTAGCTGTCACTGAGCATCATCTCCTTGAATGTCTGTCTCCTCCCTCAAGCTCGTGAGCTTCTAGAGGGTGAAAATTGTCTTAGAATAGTATTCTTTTCTGCTACTCATCATCTGACACACAACATAACACAACACAATTAAAAAAAAGATTTTATTTATTTATTTGAGGGAGAGAGGGAGAATAATCAGGGGGACAGGGTAGAGGGAGAGGGAGAAGTGTACTCCCTGCTGAGCAGGGAGCCTGATGCGGAACTCAATCCCAGGACCCTAGGATACCGACCGGAGCTGATGGCAGAGGCTTAAACACTGAGTCACCAGATGCCCCACAACACTTTTTTTTTTTAATGTAAACTTTTTCATGAAGCATTACACAACGCAGAAAATGACATGAATCACACATAGACCCCCAGCTAATTTTCTGAGAGTGAACAGAACCCATCCAAGAACCAGCACCCAGATCAAAGAACAGAAACTTTTCAGGACCCCAGCTGAGCTCCCTGTGCGCTCCTCCATTGTTGCCCTTCCTCCAAAGCTGACAGCTAGGCTGACTTCTAACACCACACATTAGTTTCACCTATTTTTAAACTTTATATAAATGCAACAGTGCCATTTGTATTCTTTTGCATTGCTTCTTTCATAAAACGTTATGTTTGGTAGATCCATTCAAGTATTTTCATGTGTATGTCTGTTGTTGGTTTGTTCTCCTGTCTTGATAGTATTCCATTGTGTAAATAAATCATTATTTATCCAATCCACCATTGTTGGGAATGTTGATCTCCAATTTGGGGCTATTATGAGTACAATTGATACGAACATTCTTACACATGAGTTTTGTTGCATATGTACTTGCATTTCTAAGAGTTAAAAAGAAAACTATAAGCCACAAATGGAGTCATTTATGTTAAGGCCTCATGTCACCAAGATTTGGTACCTAACTTAACTGCATTTTCAAACTCCTTGGGAATTGTACCCTCTACCCAGCTAAACTAAAATTTCCTGGGGTAATCCCTGAGGCGCCCCTTCCCTCCTTGGGAAGGTGACCTTACCAAAAACAGTGCATTCCTTGTAAAACAAAATAAAACAAAACAGGCCAAAAAACCAAAGAACCAAAAAAACAATACAATCCTTGCTAACAAATCTCTCCCTTTTCTAAGGGCCCTCTGCCATCAAAAACTTCCTTTTTTGCAGCTCAGCAAAGTTCCTGGTACTTGCTAGGTGGGATGCTGTCCCACTCATGAATTATTTAAAGCTAATTAGATCTTCAGATTTACTTGGTTGAATTTTGTTTTTTTAACATAAGAAAAAAATGGATGGATCATAGGTTTTTCCTATTTTTTGACCTTTCATAGAACACATCAAACAGTTTTCCAAAGTGGTTGTACCAATTTTCATTTCCAGCAGCAACAGACAGGGGAGTTCAACAAATGAGTTTTGAATACATTAATAAGAGAGAAAAGGAGCTAAGAATGCTTCCTCACTAAGCATGGCTCCTAAGGGGGGCACAGTGTCTCCAGCTGCCCTGAAAAAATAAAAAGGCTTCTGTTCCTTCCTTTTTAATTTTCTTCTTGTATTTGTTAATGAGTGACTTAGGCGAGGGCTAAATGGGAATGTAGATAAATGCTACCTTTGAGAAAATCCCAGGGTCATTGAAATAGGGCTATAATGTGGATGTTTCCTTTGCCGTCTTTAGATTATAACTGTTGATTACCATCCTGGGAACAACTAGCTTGGCTGGAATATGGGGTTGTGAATAATTCTGCGAGTATATTTAACTTCTCAGACACGTGTGAATAATATATATCTTCCTTTGGGGGATGACTTTCAGACTCTCTTCTTGCTGTGCACATATCCTAATCAAAGGTAATGGTGAAGGTAAACACTGGAGATCAGTTTTGGCGCAGTTCCCTTTGGCTCTCCCACCAGTGCCACCTGCTCCTCGGCCACGGCCAGAGGACTCTGCTCCGAGTCCGGCTGGCACGTTGGCTGGCACGTTACAGGAGTTTGTCCCAGCAGCATCCCTGGGCAGAGCTCGGCAGGTGGGAATTGAGTTAAGTGGGAAAAAAACTAAGTGCCCATAAGAGGCGCTGTAACTGATTGGGGAATCAGTGCTGTTCTGAGAATTGCTTGTTTGCTGGAGGGCAGCTTCCATTTTAACTTAGAATCTGCAGAGCATCGGCCTTCCCAGTGTAGCCAAGTTTCAGTTCCTCCAACAGTCTCTCTTCTGGGGTGTGTGTCAGGTGGAGGCCCTGTGTCAGGACTGAACGAAGCAGTCCTCACGCGTTATCTCAGACGTGATGCAAACCCGGTTCAGCCTGAACTCAAGCCACCACACAGTCTGCAGCGCCTGTCCACACGGTGTGTGAAAACCCAGGAAAAGTGGGATTGGCACATTCTCAGTGGCTTCATTTTAACGATTAGAGAAAATGTAGCGGCCATGTGCAAAAATTTTAAACCTTTAGGATTTCTGCCATGCTGTAAGTCTACACTTAAAGCGTGTGGGGGGGGGGGGTGGGGGCGGGGAGCAAGCGCTAGGCTCTTGGCCATTGACATCAATACTGTTAAATCCTCCATTTCTGAGCTGTGCTCTCTAGGACAGATAGCTCCTATCAATGGTAATACGCCAACTGAATTAAACAGGCCAGAAAATTTCACTGTCTTTAAATTGGATCTTTGTGGATTAATGGCATTCAGTTCGACACATACTTATTAAAAGAGGCATTGTGGAAGAGACAAATACAAAATCAATTCCTGCCTCTATCAAACTTTTAATCTCGTACTATATTGACACAGAAGAGGTGCCTATGATCCCTATTGCATCTGCACCTGTCTTCTCTGGGAATTAAGGCTTTTCCACCTCATGGGAGGACCAGTTGAGAAGACTTAGGGACCCACAGTCATAGACCCATGGATTAAAACTTCCAGAATGGTGGGGTTTAGGACATGCTACACTGAATAAACCTCCCATATGGAAGGTGTTCTCCCTGTATGAGGAAGAAAGAAGACATTCCTATCAAGAGACAGGAAATTGGGGGCCAATCATCTGTACAAATAAACCTATAAAACTAATCCTTATCTTTCTAGTTACTTCTGTACCAATCACTGCTTCTGATCCAAACACCTTTGCCTTGCCTATTCTTTGTTTTTACTTATTTTGTTGTTTCTTTGTCTAAAAGGTATAAAAGCTTCCTGCTCTGGTCATTTTGAAACTTCAGCCTCTAGTGAAGGCCCCATGGACATGTAAAAATTCAATAAAATTTGTGTGCTTTTCTCCTGCTACTCTGTCTTATATCAATGTACTCTTTAGGCCCAAAGAGGGTAGAGGAGAATATTTCCTTCCCTACAGATCACTTAAAAAGCCCAGTGAATTCTAACTCTTTCTGTGGTCAAAATGAACGCAACACTAAATATATATATATATATATATAAATAAATACATATATATATATATATATATAAATAATACTAATATATTAACAAAGAGAATTCAGAAATAATGTACCTAAATTGATATAATTAATTATTTTGTACTTTTTTTTACATTGATAGGTTTTTAATTTCTATATTCATACAGACATGAGATTTCCTGGGCTGAGATAGATCATTACTCCTTATTCATTGATTTCCCCTCTGTCAGTTTTCCCCCTTGGGGGGATATGATGAGAACAGACCATCATTCTACACATATGATGGTCTGTATTGTGGTGAGGAACCTCCAATACCCGCCCCCACATATGAATCTGGGAGCTTATAGAATATATTCCCTCCTATGGGCCAGAAATAAATTTAATCTCCCTAATGAAAGCAAAGTTCCCTTGGGAAGAGAAGGAGAAGATCCTGAATTTCTACCCATTGAAATATAAACAAATGTCAACAGGAGAAAGAGAGAAGACAGTCATCTCTGAATGTATAAGCTCTGGAATGCGTCCAAGGCTTTGGATCATGCACCCACCCCCACCGCCAACATGTAACCACATAATCCTGGGAGGTAAATCTCTTACTATCTATCCAGTTATCATATAACTTCTGTGGCCTGTCCTTTAACCAGTTCCCAGCAACATTTGCTAAGAAGGCCCTAAGGATGCAGAAACAGGTGTATTCCCTTTCTGGCACATATGTGAGACATACCTCTGACTCAAGTGGTTATTTAAAAGAAATATTTGTAGTGTACTCTTCTCTTTTAATCACTGATTTTGTTCAACAATTTAGGTTGGAGTGGAAGATCCCAAAATATTTCCATATTATATTTTGGGAGAAATTTATCAATTTTTGTACTGTCTTGGTGTCCTCTATACCTTGCAGTGCCCACCTCACAAGGCTGTGGAGAGAAGCTGCAGAATGGGGGTCCTATGTCTGGCATTCAGTGCTCCTGAAGGTAGGCATTTTGTTGATCTAATACAATATCCTCAATTCTCTGATAGCTAGAAATGAAAGTTATCTTTTGTGATAGATCTCATATTCCAAAACTCTCTGTGATCATCTTTTCAAATCCCACATGCACCTCCAGAATCTTGCTACACTCCTCACCAAGAGTCGGAGTCTGTGTCCTCTCCCCTTGAACTTGGAAGGGGGGTTGTCTTTGTGATTGTCTTGACAAATGGAGTGGAGTGGAAGTGACCCTGCATGACCTCTGAGTCAGGGCTGTAAATGGCAGTCTCCAGCTTCTTCCTGGCTCTCTCTCTCATCTAGGACATGAGCCTTCAGAGCCCTGAACCACGTCATGAAATGTCCAGCTTCCCAAAGCTGCTGGAGAAGACACATGTGGAGAGACACAGAGAGATAAAGAAACAATCTAGGGGCCTCTAGAAGTTCCAGACTCCAGCTGTCTTAGTTTCCCCAGTCTGACATGTGAGGAGCGAGCATTCAGAATATTCTAGCACCAGCCATCGTGTTTCTACAACTGCAGGAGACATCCTGTGTGAAAACCACCTGACTAAGCCCAGTCAGCCTCCCAAACCAGGCAAACTAATAACAAGATGCTGTTATTTTACACCACTAAGCTTTTGGGTGGTTTGTTATGGGGCAATAGATAACCCAAACATTCTTTGATTGTGAAACTAGTCAAAGCAGTTCAAGAAAGGGTGAGATCAGCTGCACGTAACATTAGCTAATACCTCTCTGGAACCCAGGTGACCTGGGAACACCAAAGTCAGTGAAGGCAATAATCTCAGGGGGAAGAAACAGGTGTGATGGTAATCAAGAAAGCTCGTTTCCATCGGGGGTAATATACCAGAGCTGAAGGAAGACTGAAAAGCAGGGATCGTGGAATCTGTGGAAAGGAGAGCTGCTGACAAGATTTTTCTTGTCCCCCCTACCCCCCGGACTGTTCAATAAACAAAGACATTGGGTCTGGTGAATTATGACAACAGAAATGGTTGATGAAGCTTTTACAAATGCCCTGGATTCTATGTCCTGTAGGACTAACTGCTCACCCTGTGCAGACCCCGCTGCCCACACAGGAAGCTGATTTGTATCAGGCTTCCCTCTAGATTTCCCCGTAGGGAGAAACTCTGATGACCAGACAAGGGGCAGTAATAATTCTCTGTTGGTGAGAGATATTGCCTTTATACACCAATGCTTTACGAGATTAGTTAATGTAAATCAGTCTCCTATAACTTTGTCAACTCTGAGTGAACTGAGAAAGAATGAGTCCCTAAATGGGAGGATCTGACAGGCGGAAAGGGACCCGGTGACTCCCCCAAGACTTTTCTCTCTGGCCTCACTCAGAGTTGGCATTAGACAGAACACTCGAAGTGTCCAGCTCATATCTGACCAACAAGACTGCTGTTTGTGATGGTCACTGATGTTGGGCAACATGGAACCTAAGACCTTCTGCTTTAGTGACATAAAATATCGGCATGATAGAAACAGCACAGATTCTGGACTCTTAACTACACCAAATCCTAATCTCTGTTCTACAATAAATCAAACTGTCCCTCATTTTATTAGTTTTCCCCTACCATTGTCACTAATAATGACCACAGTACTAATATTTGTAGTAACGACAACAATACCTTAAGGGCTTACTTAGTGCCAGGCCCATTGTTGAAGGAGTATAAAAAATATTTTAATCAATGTTTAGTGGTATCATTAGTGATTTAAAAAATCAGGTTATTGAGGTATAAGTTACATAGAGTAAAATTCACCCTTTTAAGTATACAGTTCTCTGAATTCTGACAAATGTATACAATTGTGCCACCACCACCCAATCAATCAAAATACAGAACATTTCTGTCACTTCAAGAAGCTCACTTATGCCCTATTGTGTTCAGACTCCTATCCCCACCTCTAGACTCTGGCAACCATTGAAGTGTTTGTGGTCCTTACAGTTTTGCCATTCCAGGAATAGCACAGTTGTGCAGTATTTTCAGTATATAACTTTTGGTCTTGTCTTCTTTCACTTAGCATAATACTTTTGATGGAGAGAGACACAGCGAGAGAGGGAACTCAAACAGGGGGAGTGGAAGAGGGAGAAGCAGGCTTTGTGCTGAGCAGGGAGCCCAATGCAGGGATCGATCCCAGGACCCCCTGAGCCAAAGGCAGACGCTTAATGACTGAGCCACCCAGGAGCCCACTTAGCATGATACTTCTGAGTGTCACTCATGTTGTTTCTACCGTCCATCTCTTTTCTTTGCTGAATACCATTCTGTAGTAGAGATATACCATATCTTGTTTAGCCGTTCATCAGGTGATAGACATTAGGGTCTTTTCCAGTTTGGGCAATCATATTCATGAATAAACCTGCTTTAAAAAACCCATTTGTGTACAGGTTTTTGGGATGGCATATGTCTTTATTACTCTTGAGGAAATATCTAGGATTAGGATTCCTAGGTGGTATGTCATGCATCTTAAATATAGTACATCACATCATCCTCACCGGCTGTCATTCATGGAAAGTGTTATTGTTAGCTCCTGCGTAGACACGAACGCTAAGGCTTATGGAGGTTATAGAATTGCCTAAAATTACATGGTCAGTGGGAAGAAACCCAGGCTTGTTTGACTGCAGAGACCAAAGTCTTAACTACTACTTCTGTAGTGACTATTAACTTATTTCCAGCTAACAGCTAACCAGTCTGGAAATTAAAGTATAAAGGGTGACCTCATCACCCCTGTGATGAAGTGCGACAAAGACTTGATTTCAGATGGAACAATGAAAGGATGGGAGGGTATAATATGAGAAGTATTCTTAGAATTGATTTGGGGGAAATGGGAATGAATCATGCAGTGACAAATACATGAAAATGACAATGAGAGTCAATTCAAAACTCAATTTAAAGATGAGTCATGATCTTTACTTTTTTATCCAGTTCAAATAGTACAGGATGGCAGCGGGCTCCAGCATCGACCAGAGCTCTGATCGATGTTTTCTCATAAGGCTCCTCTGCTGTTCACGCCTACTCAATATCACGTTAGCACGAAGGCAAGCATAAACAGTATATCCCCGCAACACACACTTACATTTGTGAATTTCTAATGTTCTTGTGTTAACATAATAACGTAAAAAATTTGGTATATAAACAACATCTTTAACAGTTGCATCTTATACTCAAATACATATGTATTGTTTGGATTCCAAAATGATATTCATGATATGAATCAGAGAGAAACTGTAGTGAAGATTAACCTCTAAAAATGTATTGTGGAGATTCTGGAGCGCTTCTGTAGAATTGGAAATAATGGGAAATTGACAGTGAAATATAAAAGCAGATCATGAATAGTTAATACCCAATTCTTCTATGACATGGTATTAAAATAACAACTAAGTAGTCACCACAGTGACAATTTAAGACAAATTTGTCTTCCCCAGTGCCTAGCACAAGAGCTTACATTTATTAGGAGCTGAATAAACATTTGCTGAGTTGAATTTAATCTTTCTGAGATGAATGTTTATAGAAATGATGGGAAGTGCCCTGTCAAAGTCTATGGGTTCAGCATTAATAAAGGCAATATGTTTTTGTCTTACCAATGTAACAAAAAGGAAATACAGATGTTATCATTAATATGGCAACCAGCTTCCCCAAAGACGTCCAAACGGAGCAAGATTGCTGAGAGTTGTGACTGACACTTGGCTTGCCTGAGACATTTGAGCACCAGTGTATTCTCTTCTCATAGAAGGTAGATGCTAAGGAAAACTCTCATAAAATCCTTCTGAGGATCATACATGAGACACAAACAAATACAAAGAATCTTGTATCTGGAATCTCCTACCTTGTGAGGCAGAGCCTACCTCCCATTCTAGAAGCTGAAATTGTCAGGAACTCTCCATCTACCACTTCCTGTGCAGCCAGAGCTCTGCTAATCAGATACGCTGGCCCCCGTTTGAATGGGGACCAAATGACACAAACAAGAAAGAACCCTACAGAATCCATTCCATTTTTTATTACTGTGTGATATGACATTTATGCTCCAGTATCTCTGACCACTGTCAGTCAGTGGTCACAGCAGTGTCCTCATGTGACTAAGTCTATGGTGGGATATGTTAGATAGTATTCAAGGATCCTTTCCTTTTTAATCTGGAACTAAGAACCTAACTGGTAGGGCGCCTGGGTGGCTCAGTGGGTTAAGCCACTGCCTTCGGCTCAGGTCATGATCTCAGGGTCCTGGGATCGAGCCCCGCATCGGGCTCTCTGCTCAGCAGGGAGCCTGCTTCCCTTCCTCTCTCTCTGCCTGCCTCTCTGCCTACTTGTGATCTCTCTCTGTCAAGTAAATAAATAAAATCTTTAAAAAAAAAAAAAGAACCTAACTGGTATGTAACTGTTTTTATAAAACAGCTGCAAATAACTGAAACACATAAAGTATTTTTGAGGAATAAATTAAATGGGGGCATATTATTTACTCCAGAGGAAAACAGAAATGGGGCTCAAGATCAGTGAAAAAAAATTAGAGTTTTTTAACAGTGCAAAAGGGTCGCTTCCCTAGTAACTGTAAGATAAGGACCCCGCATAAGTGGTGGTTGTGGAAGTGCTTTGTGGAGCCAACCTCCATTTTGGTCTCACGTTAAGTCAGTTGCATGAACCGGTGGACTAGGTAACAATGAATTTCCAAAGTTTACTGGTTTGGGTAATATGAATTATTTCTTCTTCCTAGGAGAAACAACATTAAAATAAGCATCACGGGAAAATATTGCGGTTGCCTCTCTGGCATTTTTTTTCTCTGTGTCCTCTTTCCAATGGGACCCAGGGCTCCCCAGCCTTGCAGATTGGCTGGAATTGATCTCACAGCAGCTAGAGGGATGGGCTCTAGTCATGGTGTGGGGATAAGATTACCATTAAAAGGGCTTCAAAGGGACAGAAAGGAGATGTTAATTGGGGGGCATCTGGAGAAGAAAATGATTCTCTCTCTCCTGAACGTTACAAAGAAAGATGCTCCCTTCCACTGTTCATGAACGAGGATGCAGTTAGAGGCAGGTGATGCTTGTGACCACGGTGCTCTCGTGAACAGGGGCAGCCTTAGGGAGGCAGGGCAGAGACACAGAAAGAAAGCGGCCCCGTGCTATCATTAAATTGCGGACCATTTAGGTCCTCCAGGAAGCAGACGAGACGATTACCAGCGCCTAAGACTTATTGGGGGTAATACTGGGGGAAGGTAAACGGGGAGGAATTGTATTGGGCTGTGAAAGCCTTTAGTCCTTTGATTTAGGTCTGCCGCCCATGAAAGCAGGGCTGTGGGGGCTGGGATTGGGCAGACGAACCTACACCCAGCCGCAGATTTTACCAAGTCTTGGTCAGTACAACAGGGAACTTTGGAATAAAGATTGCTTGTGGGAGCTTCCCACATTGGACAAAATTGCCCAGGTCCTGACTCTCCTGCTGTGCTTATTCCCAGGGCTGTCCAGAAAGAGTATGGTCTCAGCTCAAGACCGTGCGGGACCCCACATGCCCGTGGCTATCAATTGCCTGCACGCCTCATAGGTAGGCAGCTTATTCTTTTTGGAAGGGAGATCTGAGTGGTGTACTTCTTTTATCTTTGGACTCCTTAAATGACTTGAACCACTGAATCCCTTTCTTCTTCTTCTTGTTGGTATTATTATTGTTATTACTATTAAAAACACTTTGACTTCAGTTTTCTGTCACTTGTGATCAATGGAATTCCAACTAGTATGTAAGGTAATATTTTTACATTTAAAAACATTTCCCGCTCAGTTCAACACGCTCTTAAGGAGCGAGGTACCTTATTTATATTATCTCTCATCTTCAAAAACAAATAAATGAACAGACTCCGCGTATATCACAGAACTGACATGCAGCTGGTGCCTAATAGATAGTAGCTGCTATGACGGATCTTCATTACAGTTGTATCGCTCTGCAGTATTTAATAACGAACGGTAACTGAGTTTTTAGTCTCAAAGGTGTTTTTTGCATAAAAATATTTATAGTTTCTTATGTTTGTGTTAGTATTCAGTTCATAAAAGGTATAAATCGTGTTCCCTAGTTTTATAAGTCTTTCCTTTGAACTCACAAATCTTGTTACTATCTTTTTAAATCTAATATTGTGTTACAATTTTAAACACTTTGTTATTTAACGAATGCTCAATTAAAGCATTGTAGATTCGATGCCTTGAATCCCTCAAATATTAGCACTACTGAGAAACTTTATTAGCTAGGTTTTCTTTTTTTTTTTTAAGATTTTTAAATTAATTTATTTGACAGGTAGAGATCACAAGTAGGCAGAGAGGCAGGAAGAGAGAGAGGAAGGGAAGCAGGCTCCCAGCTGAGCAGAGAGCCTGATGAGGGGCTTGATCCCAGGACCCTGGGATCATGACCTAAGCCCAAGGCAGACAGTTAGCCCACTGAGCCATCCAGGCATCCCTACATATTTCACATCTTCATATTGCATACCTTAAATATATGAAGTTTTTTTTTAAAAGATTTTATTTATTTATTTGAGAGAGAGGCAGTGAGAGAGAGCATGAGTGAGGAGAAGGTCAGAGGGAGAAGCGGACTCCCCATGGAGCTGGGAGCCCGATGTGGGACTCGATCCCGGGACTCCGGGATCATGACCTGAGCCGAAGGCAGTCGTCCAACCAACTGAGCCACCCAGGCGTCCCAAATATATAAAGTTTTATTTCTCAATTTTAGTCAGTAAAACTGGAAAAAAAGAAGGTGGGGGAGAGGGAGAGAAAGAGAGAGAGAGATTGAGAGAGAGAGAGAGAGAGAGTCTGCTGTGCCTGCATATTAAAAACTTAGGCCCATGAGGAGGTTGCTGGTCCAGGACAGGATAAGGAACATGGCTGGGGATCAGCATCCAGACATTGCTTCAAAGAGAGTGCTACCTGAGCCTCAGGGTCATGCCCTCTGTGTCCCTTCTTACAATCAGACTTGAGAGGCTTTATCCCTGGCAGACTTCAAGCTTAGTTTTCAGCCAGGATAAAAGGTAGTTTAATACCCAAACTATCATATGTGGTCTTTGGTTTGTCTTTCAAGTTTCA